CATCCGGTACGGAGCCGGCACTGGGCGCTACCGCCGGCTCCACCTGGCACAACAGATGGACTTCGCCCTTCGACAAGCCAGCGAAGCTGGATGGACACTCACATGGCAGGCTGTGCGTCGTCGCCTCAATAAGGCAGCCGACCGTCTTGCCACAGTGGGGGTTTTCTGGGCCGACGCTCTTCGAGGCGCCGGCGACCTGGCCGTCACTTCCTGGATCGTCTGGGAAGGCACCCAGACGCCCCCCTCCCTTTTCCCTGCCGCGGACGTCGACCTCGACTTGGACCATGTTGCGCTGTTCGTTAATGCTCTCGAAAATCCTCCTCCCCCCCCCCCCCCTCTGATCGCACCCCGCCGCGGCGCACTAAGGTCCTGGCGGGTCGCAGCTTCAGCTGCCATCACAAGACAGCGCAGCATTCCGCTGCCACCCTGGACCGGTTCCCACCCTGGATAATGCCCAAAAACAACCAGGGCCCCCTCCGTCGTTGGCCCTCCTGCCTGCCGTGCAGTGACGACGGGCCGCCAATGCGCATGGGCACGCGCGTCTTCCTGGCCCGCTTTTGTCCCTGGATGCGTTGGGTCTATTTCCACGGCGGTTGGCGGCACTGGTGCGAGATCTGCCAGGAGCCCGTCGACGACACAGAACACATCCTAAGCGCGAAGCACTACGACATGTCGGTGGCACGGAACCAGGACGGGTGGCCAGACCCGAACACCCTCGTCACTCCTGGGAATCTTTGGTGCATGTGTGGAGGGGAGCCCTATGACTCGACCCGCCAGGTGTCCGTCACGCGGATGCCTTGGCGCGGCTGGAAACCAGTCCAGCCCTCGGTTACCCGTGACGGGGTGCGCTCGCTCCCTGGCATCGCGATCCCCGAGGATGCGCTGCGCGTGCCCATTATCTACCCCCTCTGGGACGATCCGCCGACATATAACTGCCCAGGAGGCACCAGGGTGGACCCGGAGAAGGTTCGAACGCACATGATGGACAGGCGGGGAGTCCAACGGAACCGAGTAGAGGCTGGCAACCTCTGAGGCTGCCTGTATGGCCAGCGACTCATCCAGGGCGGCTGGACTTGTCGGGGAGAGAGCGTCGATCTCCGTTGCACTGTCCTCGGCCGACTGGACTGTTCGCTGCTGGCAGGGTGGGCTCCAGGCAGGAGGAGGGTGAGGCGGCGGGGGCGGAGGCGAGGCTCCACGCGAGAGGATCTCGCCAGAAGAGGTAACTGCGCTCTCGGAGTTCGCGTCGCCAGGATCGACGCCAACACGAACATAGAGGACCTGGACACCTTTCGACTGCGGAACGCCATGAACCTACCCTACGGTAAAGAATTTCTGTTGTTGGAGCGGCCCACAATGTACAAGGTTGCATCCAGACCCTTGGAACGTGACAAAGAGAGCAGGTGACTGTACATTTCAGTCACGGGCCCGACAGTAGACAAGATCGCAGACGTCTCAGTTTGGTAGCCTCCCGCTCTGGGCGGTCACATCCACCCCAAGGATGCTCAAGCGCTAGGTCTCAGCCCTTCCGCCAGGTACCCCTCGAACTGGTGCATCGTGGTCTACAACTACGGGAAGGGTGGGCAGTTTCACGAAGACGAGACCAAGGCGAAACGCCCCCCGAGCGACGACCTTCCCTGGTATCGCGTGGATGAAGCCCCTTTCTGACATCCAGTTTTGGCGGCAATGCTCGGCGCTGGACCAGATCTACTACCTACGCCAGAACCCAGCGGATCTGTTTGGCCACCAGCTGCCACCTGTGATGTAACTCCTGGCCTTTGTTCACGCCCCTCGGTCGGAACGGACTTTGGCCAACGACTTGGGACACACGCGCTCATTGGGGCTGAGCCTTAGGGCCAGGGCGGCAGCCACCCTGGAACAGAGCGTCCCCGACGCCGACCACATGCAGGCTGTCAGGGACGACGCGCTACTGCAGGCGCCGCCCCTCCCCCAGGGCCTAAAGGCGTTCTCTGGCGAGGAAATCTCAGATGCGACAGGCTCTGTCTTTCAGAGAGTGCGTCTTACTCCCAGCCTGGACACTCTCCACAGGATTGTGGACAAGCACAGGCCGAACGGCGATGCGACCAGTGCCCTGCGGGCCACCCTGAGCCACCATGCCGTTCTAGTGCACGGACCCCTTGGAACGGGCAAGACCACCTTCTCAGTTGCCTGCCTGGACATGTGGGGCTCCTGCCTACGCCCTGGACACGCGGTCGCATTGGCAGCAGGGTCCAACACGGCGGTCGACCAACCAGCTCTGGCAACGATCGAAGCACAACGTCAGCGATGCCTCGACCAAGACACGGGCTTCCCCGACAAGTTCGTGCGCCTGGCAAAGAAGGACCGTGTCAACGAGGCACTTGTCGACCTTACACCTGAAGGTCACTACAGAAACGCCCACGGCGATTTCCCGTTCCAGGACGGGGACAAGAGCCAGGGCTTCAGGCCCTACAAGGCGAGCTTACTACGTCAGGCCAGGATAATCATGTCTACGCACGAGGCGTCAGAGGCACTCGGTCAAAAGGACAGCCCCCAAATCGTCCTCCTGGTAATCGACGAGGCTGGGCAAGACACAGAGCTCCACGCGCTCATGTCCATGGTAAACCTGATCAACAGTGGGGGGGCCGTGGTCCTCGTCGGAGACCCGAACCAGCTGCCCCCCACGGTGCTCTCCAAACTGGCGAACGACCTAGGCTAGGGCTCTGCGTCAGCATCTTCGACAGGATGTTTCACGCACTCCGCGGCCAGGAGTCTTCCGTGGTTCACCTTTCAATCTGCTATCGGATGCATCCGCAGCTACTCGCCTTCCCGAGCGCAGCCTACTACGGGAAAGGCATGAAGTCTGGCATCCTGGATCCGCTCAGAGAGCGGCCAATCGTCGAGGGCATCCCCTGGAGAGACATTCGCGTGTGGGAACCCGGGCGACTGGCAGAGCTCGCTAGACACCGATTCTGACGAAGGTGACTTCCGCGCCACCTTTGAACCTCTGGACCCGCCGCTAGGCGCAGACATGCACCGTTTCCTATTGGTTCACACACCCTCCTGGGAGGTCACCTCAGAGCTACAACCAGGCTTTGCCAATCTTCCGGAGGCGGCTCAAGCCGTGGACATCGTGCGCGCTCTACTACCAGAGCTCAACAAGGGCACCACTGTCAGAATCGTGGTCGGCTACCAGCTCCAGACGGCTATTCTCATGGACGGATGGCCGCAGGGTCCTCGTCACCTCTCCGGCGCCCTGCGTAACACTAGAGGAGGCGCGAAAGGGCAGCCCGGCAAGGGGAAAGATGGTCCTGGACGTGGTGGACAGGACGCACCTGGCCCTGGACAACCCCCTCAAGGCCACAGGGTGGACACTCAGCGCTGGCAACAAGTGTTCCGAGAGGACGATAATGCCCACACTGCCATCAGCTCCAATTTCCTTGGACTACGACAGGTTGCGGGCGAGCATATGAGCACGGGGGCGCTCAAAATCACGACAATCGACTCCAGCCAGGGCGGCGAAGCGGACATCGCAATAGTGTTAACTACCCGGAGCAACGGGAGCTACAACTGGGGTTTCGTAGATGACGCCAAGCGCCTGAACGTGGCAATTACCAGGGCTAAGCGGAACATCCTGATCCTGGGAGATGGTCGCATGTTTGCCAACGCCACCTGGTCCCAGCTTCGCGTGCTCTCAGAGTACGGGCGATTGACTCGCCTCTGGGTCCAGTTTCGAGGCCGCGCCCCTGTGGGCCGCAGGCTTTCCCTGGACATCGACGAGAGCTTCGACCCACTCAAGGACCTTGCCGCATGGATACCCTCGTCCGTCGCCTGGGGCAGCGTCGCAAAGGGGGAGAACGGGCAGGACGAGCTGGACGTCGCCAAGAAGAAAGCGCGCGACGCCCAGGCCACCTGTTTCGCCGAGCGTTATAACGCACCCCTGGAGGAGAGTTTCGACTGGGACACCCTGGGCAAGCTAATCTCGGGAGGGCTCCACGATATCCTCTCGACGCCTGCCTTTCATGTGCTCATTTACTTTATGTCCGGGCTGCACCCTCACGAATTCACGCTGGCCAACACACCGCGGCAGCCGGGCATGCTCGACCGCAAGGCTTGGTCGCGCCTGGGCTTCTTGTTTGACATGTCTCTGGGGCTCGATGCGACCAATCTGGTCTACAACACGCTGTGGGCAGCAATGGTTTGGTCGCTCGGCCTAGGCGCCCCCTCCCTTCCTCCGTTGCCCCACGCCAACGGTAGGCGTGTAACGCTCTGGAAGCGCCGCCAGTGCACCCCCAAAGGGCTCTTCCGTCAGGTCCCCAAGGCGTGGGGCTCCGCTACCAAGGACTGCTGCAGGCGCAGGAGGCACCCTGGAATGGCCGGGTTGGGGGACATCCTCCGAGGATGCGGTTCCTCGATGGAAGAGTTCCGTCAGGGAATCATAGACACCGACGGCCAGCCCATGGATTCCTGCAGGGCGCGTTCGCTTCTGGTTGGCATGATGCTCATGCTCCGTGAACCGCGAGTGTTTCTGTGGCCTTTCTCTCATTCAGAGCAGGCTGGGGACGTCATCGAAGCCATTCTGGGGTTTTGCGCCCCCTGGCAAGAGGTCCACCAGGATTTCCGAAGCCAGTTCGCCCGTACCTGGAGCCTCACCCTGGACGACCTGGCTGACCTGCACGGTCGCATCGAGGCGGTGCTACCCCACATCTCCAAGCTCGTGGCGTTGGCGCATCACCACCCGGCTGCGCAGAAAGCCGGCTGCCCGCAGACCTGGAGCGAGATGGACAGGCAAGACTTCCAGCTAGAAGCGCCGATGCTCGTCCTCGAACGGATCGTCCCGGCAGCAACTCTGACCTGCCTGGATACGCACGGCTGCTCAGTGTGTGCGCTACACGTCGCGCTGGCGGGGTCCGACGCCTCCCTCGGTCCCAACGACAGGGTTGCGGATCTTTCCTACATCGGCGGCGGACTTGCCCTGTCCCAGACCGACCTCGATGCCCCTCCACCACCGGCTCCGGCCCCAGGCACCAGATCGACTGGACCATCCTTTCATCCCCGACGAGAGACTCGTGCTCGAGAAAAAGAATAACATATACACGTGCGACAGGTGCGGAAAGGACCATCTTACTGCCGCCGAGGGTACCTGGATCTCCAACAGCACGCGCCAGATGGTCGCTCAGAATAGACCTCAGGCTTACATCAACGGTGCCAACATGGGGTGGCATTGCGCTGTCTGCTGGATACGCCACCTCGAGGACAATGGCCTCCCTGCGCCTGCCGGGACGAAGCTCGCCGACAGAGTCAGGGAACACGAGCAGCAGATGTCGGGAACCAGCAACGACAGAGCGAGCGCCCTCCCTTCCCTGGGGCACCTTCCGCTTGGCTACGGCTGCAACCCCCTGGCGGACACGTGGAGGTTAGCCGATCTCTTCATGGAGCCGACGGGCACGAAGGTGCCTGAGTGTGCCAATACCACCATTCCGATCCTCCGGATCCGGGATGAGCGCTTCGGCATCAAAGCCGCCCAGACGCAGACCTACTCTGCGCGGTGCGACACCTGCCCCCAAGGGGCCCCGCTCCTTGTCTGGAACCCCGGCTCTCCGCCTCTGGGTTGCTTCATTTGGAAGCCGGCGGAAGGTATAGGCGCTCCCGAGCAAGATGGGCTGCCCCCCATCGACAAGCGTGCCCCGGCCTGGTGGGGGCGCCAATGGAACGCTACATGGCGCTGCCGGCGCTGCCTGGTCCCGATCTGGAACATAGGCCCGGCCACCCTGGATCACATCCTGGATCGCGACTTCCGATCGCTGCATCCAGAAGAACCTCCTGCCCTTCCCCCGCTCAGCAGCCAGATTGGGTTCGAGGCGCCCGTGGACAGTGGGGATTCTCTCCCTTGGCTTGGCGTGGACGCCAAGGCCCAGGACCAATTCACCAAAGTCGGAGCAAGCAATCCCCCTGGACCCAGCGCCACAGGCAGCTCTGGTGCAGCGTCAGAGCCAACACCCATCACCTCCTTGGCAGAGTCCCCACCAACTGGCGTGTTGGCCGTGAGCGACGACAGGCCAGACACTCCCATGGCTGCCGACGCAGACAGGTCCCAGGGCACGGTGGACAACGACTCGCGTATGGGCCACCATGACCCGCCCGACTACGACAACTGCGAAGGCGCGGAAGACGGGATCCCCCTTAACAAGATGGAGCCCGATTACGGAGAAGATGAACCCGCTCGTCCTCCCACGTGCTCAGAGTCGGCCCAGGAAGATGATGACAATCGCTCAGGCGGCGATGCGCCACAGCGAAGCCCGTCGGCGGACAGCTCTGACACCAGCCGCGAGGATACCGCGACCTCTGCTGCAGAGGAAACGCCCTACGCCGACCGCAGAAGGGGTCCAGCCCGAGACCCCGCGAGGCACGAGAGGGCCAGCGAGAGGGCCAGCGACGGTGGTGGCTCGCGGTGCGAGCGCTCTCTTGCGCCCACCCCGATGCCCCCTGGACAGCGGCCCTATCACCCTCGCCATATTGGTTCATCGGAGCAGGACGCACTCAACCTGTTGTCCTGCCCTGATGGAGGCGGCCCAATATACAAAGTCAGGCTGGGCACTGTCGAACTCGAACGTCCCGACGAGACACCAGCCAGACGCATATCCAGGCTTCAGTCGGAGCTGGGGGCAGTCTTTTGCGCGCTGTGGACAGCGAACACGCAGCGTACCCTGCTCCCTGGATGGAGGGCGCCCAAATCCGACCCGAAACTACACGCGCCCTCGGATATCAACCATTTCCTAGAGGCCTGGAAGGACTGCGGGTATGACGCCTACGAGATGAACACGAGGTTGGGCTATGATATCGACTGGGATAGGATAAGAACCAACTACCTGCGTCACTCCCAGACAGACGACAGGGGCAAAGGCGGCTATCACCACACGGGCTGGCGCGACGGTGCGACAAGTTCCTGGGGCACCCGGGGCAGTTGGCAGGGCGAGTGGCGCGATGGACGGCGTGAAGATCACTGACAGACGGGTGGCAAGCGCGGCGGAGGTCGCCCTGATGATCGGGACGATCGAGATGAAAAGAGACTCCGTTGGAGAGACTGAGCTCCCTCTCCGCCCTCTCCCCGCCCCCAGTGCCCGCGCCACCGCCGACGCCCTGCGACGCGCTACCGCGGCCCTCCGCCGCTCTCTCCTTCAACCTGGAGCAGCACCACCGCCCCCCCCCTGGACGGCACTCTCACTCACCCTTGGGCCTTGGGGTGCCGTTCAGTAATGCCATCTGCTCTCTGCGTGACACCGCGCATCTTGCAGACCAACGTGCCACTGGCATCGCTGCCTTTCTCCTCCGGTGGCCGCAGCCCTCTCGCCGCAAGGCCCCCCCCCCGCTCCTCGCCGTCGGTTTCAGTTCCTGAATTCTAGCTGGCGCTGCACTAGGCCGCGCCGTGGGCCCCTTAATCGCGGCGCTCTGCCGCCCTCCACCCGATGCGCGCACCTCCTGCCTTTGGATTCAGGCGCGCGCTTCGGCAATACTTTCCGCAGCCTCTCCGCTGTGGGCTCGCGGCCTCTGGCCTTACTGTAGATGTCTCACCGCCAGGCGTTCCTGGCCTGTAAGTGGGCCGCGGCTCGCCTGTCCACTGGCTTTCTCCGTGGGACTTCTAACCGACTGAACGGCCTTCCGCCGTGACCCTGGATCGTATCGCTTCGAGGGACGTGTCTTTCATAAGATGGTCCCTTCTCGGCTGCTATCTGACTCGTTTGGGTAGCTCTGAGACTTGGTTGTGCACTCGTCACGTGGTCCTTCGGTCATCGTGCACACCACGGCCCAACCCCCTGGTGGCTGGGCTTGCATCGCAGTTTGGTGGGTTCACCGTTCACATGTACCACCCTGGATGCGTTCTCTGACGCCGCGTCCCTTCTCGTCGTCAGGCTTTCCGCTGGACTTGATCTCATTGATTGGGTACCCTTGACATTTGGTCGACGTCCTCGGAATCATTCCTACTTTCCGCTTGAATCGGTGGGAACGCTCGCGCCATTTTGGCTGCGTTGGTCTCCTCGGGCCTGCCCTAGGCTCCCTGGATGTACCTTGCACGTTCTCAGGGGTTGTTCAGCAAGCTCCCTGGATTGCACGTCGGCTTCTGGGTGCTCCTCTGGCTCCCTGGATGCCCTTTGCACGCCCGTTCTGGGGCCCGCAGGTCCCCTGGACTGCACGTAGGCTCTGACGCCTTAGGACGCTGCTGCCTGCCGCCTGACCGCGGCCCCGCGCGCGCCCGCCGCTAGTCGCGGCCACAGCCCGGCCGCGACTGCCCGCCGCTGGCGCTTCCGCCTGCGGCTGTAAGAAATAAAAAAGTATCCCCACCAGCCTTACTCTGCACGCGCGGCCCTAGGCTTCCACTCCCTGGATGCGTGTTCTGATGCTGCGACGATTCGCTGGCGCTGTCAGAGTATTTTTCCTGCTGGACTGCGTCACCAGTTTCAGTCTGCTCATGCCCGTCAGACTCCCTGGACAGACTTCCCGCATGGAGATCGCTCCCTACCTTTGGTCGTCTCGATACGATCACGGCGGGAACGCCCAACGCGCCATTTTGGCCGCGCTTGGCTCCCCTCGGTGGCTGGCCTCTCAGACTCCCTGGGTTTACCGTTTGCACGTTTACCTCAGGGGCTGTCCTTGCAGACTCCCTGGGATTGCACGACCGTTGGCCTCTCAGACGCCCTGGGTTGCCGCTGCTCGCCGCCTGATCCGCGGCTTCGCGCGCGCCCGCTAGTTAGTCGCAGCCGCAGCCCGACCGTGACCGCTCGCCGCTGGCGTTTCCGCCTGCGGCTGTAATAATTATATACAAAAGTATCCCCACCAGCTTCCGAGGCCTGGCTCAAGCCGTCTGCGGGCCTGGCTCCCTCGGGTCAGTCTCCCGCGCTCAAGGGGGCGCCCGGACGCTGCGCCGCGCCCCTTGCCCCGGGCCCTGCCGCTCTGCCAGCTCGCTCGGTGTGCTGCTGAGGCCCGCGGCTCAGACCCATGGAGGATCAGCCTGGCGATGGGGATGGAGGCAGGGCTCCTTCAGCGCAGGGCGCGGGAGCCCAGTCACTGTATTCGATCGGCCCCCAGGCCCCCCAGAGGCAACAGCCCCCCTCCGCAGACGCGGCAGACGCAGTGCCGACGCCAGCTGCGCCCACATCGGTCCTCTGCCCCGCGGAGGGAGACAACCGGACAGAGGGGGGATGAGCTCACCCTGGCGCTGCTCTGGACCCCGTTCTGATCCCAGTTCCGTCCACGCCCCCCCCCCCCTCCCCGCGTAGGGGGGCAGACCGTGTTCGCGAAGCCCCAGCGACAGGTTCCACCCTGGCCCCTGAGGCAGAGAATGAGGCTCGCGTAAGGAACCAAGAGACGGCAGTGAACGCGGCATCTGGAGAAAGACGATCGGAGCCCACAGAAGTCGGCAGCGCGGGCCTCCCGCCATGCAAACAGGCGAGCAGGCCCCCCCCCCCGCGGCGACTGAAGAGCCACCTCAGGGAACGCTAGGGGGAGAACAGAGAGAGGACCCAGAGCAGGCAGCACTGCCCCATAGGGCCGCCCTACCCCCCTCCTCTTCCAATTCACAAGTTACTGCGGCTTTTGGCTGCGCCCCCCATCTTCCTCCTCCCCCTCTGGTGCAGGATCCGAGTTCAGCGGCTCCTTGCTGCGCCCCCCAGCTCTAGTCAAAATTCACCAGTGACTGCGGCTTTTGGCTGCGCCCCCATGCAGAGCGACGCCGAGGAGCGATGCTGGCAACGATAGACTGCCAGAAGAATCCCCGCAGGATCAGGCCCCGCCAGCGCCCGCGGCGGGCGCGCGGGACGTCCACGATGACATGGGGGATACCATGCCCAGGAACACGTTTGACCTGACCAGCGACGGCGGGGGAGATCCCCCACCTGACCCTCCCCTTTCCCCCCCTGCACGGCCCCTCCTCTGCCTTCCCGACTCCCCTGCCCCCTACGGGCCTGGGCGAAGACATTGAGATCTCCCCCGCGCTGCCTTTCCACCCGATCGGGTTCGACGCGGACAACGGACAGCAGCATTGGGGCGAGGTCGACTGGGAGTGGCTTCTGCGAGAGCGCGAACCCAGCGGTAGCACCCCCGACAGCGAAGCGCCCCACAAATGGGAGGATCCCGACGAGATCGACAGCAGATCAGCCGCTCGCGTCCGCGGTCGCCTGATCACGCCTCCCCCTGGCCCCCCCCCGTCCCCGCCGCCAGGCTCAAGGTCGCTCAATACGGGGGGGCGCGTGGCTGGCCTGGGGCACGGAGTTGACCCAGCTAGCCGCAGGCCCTCCCCACAACCCAGGCGTTGTGGCACCCGTGATGCCGACGCCCCTCTCTTGGCCCCGAGAGTCGTCGACCGAAGGGGCACCATGAGAGGCGGCACACTAGCGGCACTCATGGAGCACCATGAACCAAGGGAGGGCCCGTTGAGAGAGATCCCCAGGCGCTCGCC